TTCCCTCTCCCTTCCCTCTCCCTTCCCTCTCCCTTCCCTTCTCTTCTGTTCTTCTGAGTCTGTTGCCAAGCTGGAGTGCAGTGGCATGATCTTGGCTCACTGTAACCTCTGCTTCCTGGGTTCAAGAGATTCTCCTGCCTCAGCCTCCCAAGTAGCTGGGACTACAGACACGCACCGCCATGCCCAGCTAATTTTTAATTTTTAGTAGAGATGGGGTTTCACCATGTTGGCCACGTGGTCTAGATCTCTTGACCTGCATCTTCATTTCTAATTTTATTGCACTATGGTTGGTATAAAAGAATGGTTGGTATAGTGTCAGTTCTTTAACATTTGCTGAGGATTGTTTTACGTCTAATTGTGTAGTTGATTTTAGAGTATGTGCCACGTGACAATGAGAAGAATGTATATTCTGTTGTTTTTGGGTGAAGAGTTCCACAGATATTGATCAGGCCCATTTGATCCAGTGCTGAGTTCAGGTCCTGAATAGTTCTGTTAATTTTCTGACTTGATGATTAGTCTAATACTGTCAGTGGGGAGTTGAAGTCTCTCACTATTATTGTGTGGGAGTCTGAGTCTCTTTGAAGGTCCCTAAAAACTTGCTTTATGAATCTGGGTGCTCCTGTGTTGGGTGCAGGTATATATATGGGTAGGTCTTCTTGTTGAATTGAACCTTTTACCAAAATATAATGTCTTTCTTTGTCTTTTTTGGTCTTTGTTGGTCTGAAGCCTATTTTGTCTGAAATTAGGATTGTAACCCCTGCTTTTATCTGAGTTCCATTTGCTTGGCAGATTTTCCTCCCTCCCTTTATTTTGAGCCTATGGGTGTTATTGTGTGTGAAATGGTCAGTTGAAGACAGCATACCATTAGGTATTGCTGTTTTATCCAGCTTGCCACTCTGTGCCTTTTAATTGGGGAATTTAGTCCATTTATACTCAAGATTATTGATATGTGTGAATATGATCCTGTCATCATGTTAGCTGGTTATTGTAGATACTCATTTGTGTGGTTGCTTTACAATGTTACTGGCCTGTGTACCTGAGTGTGTTTTTGTAGTGGTTGGTAATGGTCTTTCTTTTCCATATTTAGTGCTTCCTTCAGGAACTCTTGTAAGGCAGGTCTGGTGGTAACAAATTCCCTCAGCATTTTCTTGTGTGTAAAGGATCTAATTTATCTTTCACTTATGAAACTTAGTTTGGCTGGATATGATATTCTTGGTTGAAATTTCTTTAAGGATGTTGAATATTGGCTCCCAATCTCTTCTGGCTTGTAGTGTTTCTGCTAAGAGGTCCACTGTTAGTCTTATGAGCTTCCCTTTGTAGGTGACCTGGCCTTTTTCTGTAACTGCCTTTAACATATTTTCTTTCATTTCAACCTTGGGGAATATGATGATTATGTGTTTTGGGGATTATCTTCTTTTTTTTTTTTTTTTTTTTTTTTTTTTTTTTTTTTTTTTTTTTTTTTTTTTTTTTTTTTTTTTGAGATGGAGTTTCGCTCTTGTTACCCAGGCTGGAGTGCAATGGCACAATCTCAGCTCACTGCAACCTCCACCTCCTGCATTCATGCAATTCTCCTGCCTTAGCCTCCCCAGTAGCTGGGACTACAGGCACACACCACCACACCCAGCTAATTTTTTTTGGTATTTTTAGTAGAGATGGGGTGTCACCATGTTGGCCAGGATGGTCTCGATCTCTTGACTTCATGATCCGCCTGCCTTGGCCTCCCAAAGTGCTGGGATTACAGGCTTGAGCCACCGTGCCTGGCCTATCTTCTTGTGAATTATCTTATTGGGGTTCTCTCATTTCCTGAATTGGAATGTTGACCTCTCTAGCTAGGTTGGGAAAGTTTTCATGGATGATATACTGAAATATGTTTTCCAAGTTGGTTCCATTCTCCCTATCTCTTTCAGGGACACCAATATGTCATAGCTTTGGTTTCTTTACACAATCCCATATTTGTTGGAGGTCTTATTCATTACTTTTCATTCTTTTTTTCTTGATTATTGTCTGACTGTTTTATTTCAGAAAGCCAGTCTTTAAGCTCTGACATTCTTTCCTCAGCTTGGCCTGTTCTACTATTAATACTTGCAAATGCATTATGAAATTCTAGGCTGGGCATGATGGCTCACGCCTGTAATCACAGCACTTTGGAGGCTGAGGTGGGTGGATCATAAGGTCAGGAGTTCAAGACCAGCCCAGCCAACATGGTGAAGCCCTGTCTTCTCTAAAAATACAAAAAATTAGCTGGGCATGTTGGTGGGCACCTATAATCTCAGCTACTCGGGAGGCTGAGGCAGGAGAATTGCTGGAACCTGGGAGGTGGAGGTTGCAACGAGCTGAGATTGTACCACTCCAGCCTGGGTGACAGAGCAAGACTCTGCCTCAGGAAAAAAAAAATGCTTATAGTGTGTTTTTCAGCTCTGTCATGTTGGTTATGTTCTTTTCTATACTGTCTATTTTGTATGGCAGCTTCTGCATTGTTTTATTGTGATTCTTAGCTTCTTTGGATTGTTTCAACGTAGTCCTGCATCTTGATTATCTTCATTCCTATCCATATTCTGAATTCTGTTTCAATCATTTCAGTCATCTCAGCCTCTTTCAGAACTCTTGCTGGAGAGCTAGTGTGGTCGTTTGGAGGAATAAAGGCATTCTCACTTTTTGAGTTGTCAGTTCTTGTACTGGTTCTTTCTCATCTTTCTGGGCTGTTTCTTCAATCTTTGAAATTGCTATCCTTTGGATTTTTTTTTTCTTTATCCTGTTTGATGACCTTAAGGGCTTGATTGTGGTATAAGGTGGGTTCTATTGACTGGCTTTGTTTCTGGAAGATTTCAGGGGGCCAAGGCTCAGCTCACAACTCCTGGACTATGTGCTGTAACTCTGGGGGACCAGTATTGGGCCCCAACTTTGTTTTCTGGCTCCTTGAGGTTAGGAATCCACTGCACTGGGTGGACTGAGGTGCTCCTGCATCTTTTGTTTCAGCATTCCTGTGGGCGGTGACAGGCAAAGCATTTCATAGGGTGGTGGCAGTGGAGTCCATCCTCATTTGCATGTGCCAGAAGCTGCACGGCAGGTTACATGCTTATAGGTTGTAGCCGGGTGCTCATGGGTGTTCAGGCATTCATAGCAGCAGCAGAGAAGCATGGTTCAGGGGTTGGGGGTACCTGCTGGTGACTGACTGTGTGTGTGGTTGTGCTGATGGTTTTAGCGTGGGGGTAAGGTGCTGGTAGGTGCAGGACTGTGTGCATCCTCTGTGAATTTTCATGTAGGTGTAGTTTGCCACTTAGGGCAGTGGAGGGTCCACCGTTCTCTGTGCCTAGTTTCACTCTGGTGACAATGTTGGTGCTGGGGCAGGGTGCTGGTCGGGGCTGGGTTGCACTCCGACTGCAATGGAAGTATGGTGGGGGAGGGGTGGAGTGGGGTGCACTTACCGCAGAAGCAGTGGCAGGGCAAGGTGCATGTGCACACACATGCTGGCAGGACAGGGAAGGCAAGATCCACCCATGCACATATGCACCAGCAATGTAGGGGTGGTTGTGGGCCTGAAGGGAGCTGCAATGAGAGGAGGTAGTGGGTGGGCTGGTGCAGTCCACCAGCACAGGAGCTATGATGCAGCACTTCCAGAGCACCAGGGCAAGCAGGTGCAGCCAGGCTGGGGCCCTGGGAGAGGTCAGCAGACCAAGGGGTGCTCACATCAGACTGACCTCATTTGGTGGGCAAGACTGCCCTGCAGAGTTTATGTCCAACAGTTCCCTTAGGGCTAAAGTCTCTTA